TCCGTTTGGTTCAGAGTAATTTTTCATTTGTACGACAAAGCCATGAAGATCCAGTTTAATATCCAGAAATATTATATTATAATATCCCGCTTCACGAAAAACGCGCAAATATTATTAATATCGTTATACTTTGATTATAGAGAATTTTTTAAATGCAATTATAGAAATATTTATTTAAAAAGTAATCGGTAAAACACACAAACGGGTTGAAGTCCCTTTAAATGATAACGTTTTCGATGACCGTAATTGATGGAACGGTACAAAATATTGAGAATCGAGAGGGAGACTCTAGAAAGAAAGAGAAAGAGGAAGACGTTATCTCGAAGTTATCCAGGGATATCGCTCGCGCTGGTCGCATCCTGATTGTGGTACGATCAAACGATGTAATATATTGCACCCGCGCGCGCTATCGTCATGTAACGAATTCTGGAACGGATTCAGATTCCAAAACCTGCGATTGTTATATCCATGGTTGTATCTCGCGATCGTGTCGAAAGGAATTCCAAAGAGAACGCATCCAAAAGGGATGATCATCGTGTCTCGGATAGCTGGGCGCATGATGATGCCTTTCTTGGTGCACGTGTCGCAAAAATGAAAAGAGAAAAAGCGATATCAAGCTTCGCGACACGAGGCAAACATGTCGATCAAAAAGAATTAAGAAGACTTTATTTTGACATCATGAAAGTAAAAAATTATGATTTTTGGTTGACATTCATGTGTTACTTGGAATCGGATAAAAGGATTCAAAGCGTAAAAGTCAAGAAATAAACAAAAATAAAATTATTTCGGATTAAAGGATTCGAAATATCACAAATCATCATGACGTTAAAGTAATAACAAAATGATTACTGAAAGTCATGGTGCCTTCTGACAAACATCTTAAATTACAGATATTCGAGATTCGAGAAAAAGAACTTTCTATGAAAGCTGGACCGGTAATTACATATTCTTAATAACATTATCGGATTGAAGATTCCGTTGAGAAATCGTAATGAATTTACCAAAAGGTTGCGACGCGACGAGCTTACGTTGTAATGGAAAAAAATACATAGTTGCTTATTTAAAAAATTATCCAATATACATATTTTTTTAACCTTTAAGGATTAATGCGTAAAGAAAACACATCGTTGCTTTAAAAAAAATATGTATGCATACTGGATAATTTTTTAAATAACCAACTATGTGTTTTTTCCACCAACTGATTCATCTCATTATTCTGTTCTTAAAAGTATTAAGATATGATTATCAAAAAGTTAGTAGTTTACGAGTTATTTCACATTTTATGTTAATATTCTGTGCCAGAATAAAGTGTGAAATATCTCGTAAACTATTGATTTTTTTATTATTACCTTAATACTTTTATATGCAGAATAATTAGAAGACTCATATTGTGTAAAGAAAATCATACAATTCCATTTAAAAAAGTGGAGGTGACCTTCATATCTTTTTGACGTCTCCACCTAGGAAAAAAAACAACATGACTAAAATATGTTCCCTTCGAAATCGTTACACTTTCGTTTAAAACATTTTTTTGTATCATCAAAAATAAGTGAAATATTCACGATGTTCGATTTAAATGGACTATCCTTTTATATATATATATATA